ACTTGTCTTATTATCTTGTAGGCGCACTGAAATCTGTCTTTGTCGTTCTGATCTCATTGATTGTTAAAAAGTATTGTAACTGATGTTACAACATTATCGAGATGGTTCTGCTACTATTTTTGTTGGAACTTCAGTAACAACATGTTTTTCATTAAGAAGACACACTTTAATTTTGAATGAATGGAATGTATTTGAAATAACTCTAAGGGAACTCTAACGTTGATAGCCAAATTACTCTAAGGAAACCATTCCTTTAATTACCAAACACACTTGTATGCATAGAATTCTTTCAAAAGAAAGTCTTTCATAGCCCAACCATTTACTTTCTCACAAGAAACTATATCATAATGGAGTATCCAAAATTAACCTATACATCTCATATGCAGAAAAATCAGCATTAAGTATAAATAATCAAATGCACTCCACAATTAATTTAGTTTTCTTTCACAACCAAATCCTCTACTACCGTTTTCAAAAAAAAATCCTCTACTACCAAAAGGTTATAATTAATAAAATCAAACCTGACTTTGTTAAGATAAATGTAACCGGCCTCCATTGAAAGATCTTCCATCTACAATAGTTAAAAACGATAATAACATTAACAAAACAACAGAGCCAAACTTAAAATTTAAAAACTGAACATCACATCATAATCCAATTTAAAACTGAAATATATATTTAAAAAAAAATTGAAATATATAAGAGGCAGATTTAGTTCTGATCCAAAATTTATTGGCTGATTAACAGACTAAGGTTGCATTTCATCAATCAATGGAACAGAACACAACCATTTGACCTACCAATATCAAATCATTACTCATTTTCATCCTTAAATTCCAATCAATTTCGAACCACACACATGTTAATAATATGTAAAAAAAAAAAAAAAAAAAAGAACAACTGGACGGACATATAAGAATTGAAGCTAATTGGCCTGTGAACGTACACTTCTTGTGCTGGTAACCTTCAGTGCTTCCATGCTTGCCATAAGCATGTAGGTTCAACAGAAAACAAATTCCAAAGCAACATAAAGGCAGCATATATATATATATATATATATATATATATATATATATATATATATATATATTTGATTTGCAATATTAATACTTTAATAGCGTATATCTAAAACATTTACCAATCTAAAGGCAGCATAGCTTTAGATATTTCATTTCACACCCAAACTATTAACATTCAACAACTGGACAATGTTAAATAGTCCTTTATGTGCTATATAACTTGAATGCGGAAGCACAATTAACAATGATCACATGTAAATCAAATCAATCAACTAAACAATGTTCATGATCATGGATTTTTAATTAAATAGATAAGATAGAACTTATTTGGTTCCATTGGAGATGTAATATCTAAATTGAATAAATCAAGAATATAATGCTTCACCTCTCTAATCGTATACCTTAATCACCTCCCGATGATACGGAGACTAGAAAACTTAGAGATTTGAAAACAGTTTAGATCCCTAGAGTTTTTCTGAATATTTATAGATGTGATGAGAAACCCTTTTTCAAAAGGAATGAGGAACCTCCTTTAGGAAGAAATCCCTTTAGGAATGTGACCTCCTTTTAGGAATAGAAATCCACTAGGAATGTGAAACCCATAACCTTATTCATTAACATTCAACAACTGGACAATATCAATCAGAAAGATAGCCCATCTCTGCCATTCCGTTTGGTGAAGCAAAGCTTCCAGGCTATATTTCTGCTTCACATATAAGCCCCTTCAACAAAAGCAATGCAATTACCATATCAAAAATAAATAAATAAATAAATAAATAAATAATCAAGGCTTCATCTACGTTCCTAAGTTTTTGGTGAACAATGATACAACGCAAATCTCATATAAGTACATCAAAGTTCTCTGCTCCATTTTTTCCCCATGAAAGGCTCTCACAGTCTCCCAAATCGAAACCAGATGAGGAATATTTCTTCTCAATAAGTTCGTAGTTAAAAGTTTTGTTTGCTGGGCTTGGTAGTGCAAGCCGGTAACCTAAGTGGGAGCATTAAAATGGTGGAATAATTGGACCTGGGATGTTATTTATTGGCCTGCCCATTCCAAATGGTGAGTTGACGTTTTTAGGAAAAACGCGACATCGCTGTTAATTGCGTTATTCGTTTGTGGAATTATGAATGTACAGTTATGGAATTATGAACACAGAGCTCTGATATTATGAACTTACAATTATGAACATATAGTGATAAAATTATGAACATGGAGCTGTAAAATTGTGAACATAGAGCACATACTCCATAGTATAACGATTGATTATCAAGTATGTTCCTCCGTTTTTTGAATCATTCATTCCCTTTTTTTCATTTTCCAATTTTAAAAAAGGCGTTTTACAAGCACATTTTTCTTACATTCATTTTCCAAATCTAACTTTTTAGACTACATACAACATTGGGAAAATCAACGATTTGGTCCCTCAATTGTTAGCGAAATATCAATGTAGTCCCTTAATCGTGAAATCATCGATTTAGTCCCTGGAAATAACTGTTTTTAGTTGATTTAGCCCCTCCGACCGTTCCCCGTTGAAAATCCGGCGAAAGCTCCGATTTGCCATGGGCAATTTGGTCTTTTCACCATATATTCTTCATCCGATGCAAATGTTTGTTAAGGTAATAAAACCCATATGCAGCAATCCCAATCCCCGCCATCCATGGCCAGAACAGCCAACTCCAGATAAAATACATCCAGAAGAATGGATTGAACTCTACATTTACAATCCACTTTGGCACTACAATTGCAATTGCAATTGCAATAACCACTTGCACAAGTCAAAGGGGGTCAGCTGAGAAAAGTTTGATTTTATCAATTCCGCAGAGAGATCTTTTAGGCTTTTCAAGAATAAGGTCAGTTGAGAAAAGTTTGATTTTATCAATTGCACAGAGTGATTTCTCAGGCTATTCAAGAACGGGGTCAGCTCAGAAATGTTTGATTTTATCGATTCCACCGAGAGATTTCTCAGGCTATTCCTGAACATGATCCCATCATCAGTCTTTGCAGTTGAGTGTGAACTGGAGCATTTCAATGGCAGTAAAGAAAAACGTTCAGACGGTTTCAGTAATGTCAGAAAAGAACTCAAATGGGCCTTGCTGAGCTTTAAGCATGCGTTGGTGTGTAAATTCTTCGCTGGAAAAGTGTCTTCCAAGTGTTTGTGACAATGTCTGAAAGAAACTGCATTGTCGTTCGGCAAGAAAACACCAAAAGCCTATACCTTTGAACAGGCCAAAACGGGACACGAAACCATGACCGGATGCCTGGATTTCAAAATCAAGAGCTCGGAGAAGCGCAATCCTACAATGAAAATAAAATAAATTACAAAGCAAGAAAATAACTATAGGTACCTGACTGTAGTCGGAGACTGCAATTGGATGAACTGAGGAAGTGGTCGGCGACTGGACGGACTGCAAGCCTGCGAAGTCGTTTCTGGTCGGCGACTGGACGGACTAAGACCATGGGACGTGGTTATCAACAGTAGCTCGGATTAAAGGGTCGGTGGAGGAAGAATATGTGGTGAAAAGACCAAATTGCCCATGGCAAATCGGAGCTCTCGTCGGATTTTCAACGGGGAACGGTCGGAGGGGCCAAATCAATTAAAAATAGTTATTTCCAGGGACTAAATCGATGATTTCGCGATTAAGGGACTACATTGATATTTCGTTAACAATTGAAGGACCAAATCGTTGATTTTCCCTACAACATTTATAAAAGGATAATGATATATGTACTCCCATGGAGTATAAACTCCCACCATGTGTACCAATAAATTCAAGTGAATGAAGAAAAATATTGGCTCACTTTGTTATTTAAACCAATCAAATAATGACACTTCAGTAGGGAGTAGAAAGTGGGAGTACATGTAGTATTACTCGTTATAAAATTATTCAAAAATTAATTTTCATTTATGTGGGGACTGTTAAAAACTTTTAGTAATAATATTATATTTTAAGTGACTATTTTGTGGTAAAAAAAATTTATATAATACAATTTATATTATTAAATAGACGAACAAAATTAATATTTTATACATCTAAAATAATATTTTATACACATAAAATAGATAATAGGTGAATGAAAAATTGATTCTCGATATATAATCATTAGATCACTTTAATAATGTGCTTATTGTTATTTCCTTATGTTTATCCTTTCTCACCTTTCCCTTCTCCCAAAGGCATGACTGTCTCCACTTTGTATTTGTTTATTATTTCCTTTGTTTCTTTCCTCTGCTTTTTCCTTTATAAAAGAAGGGAAGCATGCAAAGAAAGATTAAGGGAAATATTCCAAGGCATTTCTGCTCTTGTTCGGTTTCTAATTTTCCTTCCTTTCATATTGCTACTTGGAATATTAGACATGTTTCTATTTTTGTCATAAAATTTTTGACACTTTTAATCTTCATGAAAATTTTAAAATGATACATTTTAGAAATCAAATCTAATTGATTTTGAATGCGAAAAAAAATAATTATAATTGAGAGACTAAATATAAAATTAATGACAAGTATTTCTTGGATACATTTACATATTCAAACAAAAAAAAAAAAAAAATCAAATACCACTCACATCCAAAAAACTTCATAAAAATAAAAATTCACAACCTAAACAAACATAATAAAATGTTAAATTTTTTAAAAGCTTACATCTAAAAAACACCATAAAAAAGATTAAAGACTTTGTGGTCAAGCGGCATGACGTAACTCTCTCAAATGGAGGGTCATGTGTTCGAGCCTTACCGGAATTTACTTGCCCTCTAACCAAACACCCTGTTATTGTATTAGCAAGCAAGTTAAATAGATTAAACCATTAAGAGACAAAATTTTTAAGTTTTTAACAGGTCAACCAATTAATAACTCTAAAACATATTAAAGCTAAACACTAACTCATTATTTTCATGCCTTATTCATAGATGATTTCGAAAATTGTCAGGTCTGGCCCGCTGCCTACATTTTCTTTGATATGATACCTCCAATGCGCATCTCATAACCTCAAAGGATTGACGATTCAAATCCAATAAACACATCAAAATTCCCTTTGAGAATAGTTAATGTACATGTTCCAAATATGCAAAATCAGATGAGTTAAAGAAATATCACAAAATGTCATTCCAAAGATGCCAGTTGCAGCTGCAGCAGTGTAGCTGTTAATCAAATGATCAAAGGAGAGAAAGGCGGTTCGAATGTGCTTTGCTTTGCGGTTCAAACAACAGGAAACGCGAGAAGGCCATTGAAGCACCAGTCAGAGTACCACGTTGCAGGTACCACTATCGCTTCCTTGCAATGTCATAGTGCACACAAGCATCGGCAGCCGTCTTCATCTGAACATATAACGCAAATCAAGTTAGCAGAAGAGCTATACATCACGACGAATATTATGCACGCATCAGTGAATTACTTGATTTGTTCCATTCTCGTGTGGTTTATCGCAAAGTTGGACAATTTCATGATAATAAGTATTTGAACACCTTACATTTACAAGTGCACACTAACAACTTCCACTTAGGGATGGCAATTCCCTGATGGGGAACGATGGGGAGACCCCACTCCATCCCTGCAATATATATATATATATATATATATATATATATATATAGGGACTGGTTCAAGTGAGGACAAGTTTCTCTGTAAAAAAAATGCAGACTAATGCTAACAGTCGATCTGAGATTATCAATGGCTCTAAAGCAAAGTGATAAGGGTATGTGTGTGTGTATATATATTTATTTATGAATAGGAGAGGCTTCAGGTGAGAACATGCTCCCACGTAAAAAGTGAGGACTAATCTAATCTATCAATTTGGGTAGACAAAAGGTTGAGGGTTGTTGAAAAAATAAGCGGAAAAAGGGTGGGGTCAATTTTATAAATATTGCAAACTTGAATATTTGTAATGATTATAAAATTGATGGGCGGCTAAGATCAGTCCTCACTTTTTACGGGAAGGGGTTGTGTTATCATTTGAACCCAACACTATATTATATATATATATATATATATATATATATATATATATATATATATATATATATATATATATATATATATATAATTGAATCTGATATAGTAATAAGAAATGTTTAGCCATACCCCATTGCCATTCCTACTTCCACTTTCTTTTTCGGTGCATACTAACAAATTCCCATAGCAAAGCTATAGCCAAAACACATGGATTAATGATATCGAGCTTCATATCTAAAGATCAACCGAGAAACTCAATAAGTCTAATAGTGGGGCTCCGTCAAGTAGTAGTCCAAGCATGTTAATTCTTCCATTTTCCCTATTAAGTGCTAGCAAAATTTTCTCCCCACGGTTGGATTGACTAAAAAAACCTCCGGCAATTCCTAGACTACATGTTAATAAATACATCTACGGGAATATACAATTTCACGAGCTGCATTAATAATGGCTCTTGCTTACCTGTATAAAATTGACCAATTGCTTAGTTGCCCAACCAAAGAGAAGCAAGGAAAGCAGGGAAAAGTAGAGCCAACTTTTTGTCGCAGAATTGATAAGAACCTGAGAAGAAAGGAAGAGAAGCAGTAAGAAAGGGGAAAAAAGCAAATTTTTGGTAGAAACGAAAATAAAGATCAGTACAAGGACAGGGAAAATAAGGATATAAAGGATTTTTTAGGCTCACATCAGTCAAATTCTCGGTCTGGTTCTCCGCCAGAAGGAATAAGAGAATGTAAAGAACCTATTGGGACAAAAATAATTTTTAAAAAATCAGAGCAGTTGACAAGAAACATTCTCCAGAACAAATTTTCAGGATATATATATATATATATATATATATATATATATATATATATATTATTATATATATATATTATTATAGAAATACATTCACCTCACAGGATACACAACAATAAGCCATAAATTTGCGATTTCCGTAATAAGTCCTGAATAGCCAACTACTGCTATCCTTCACGTCTTTATGACTAGTTTTGCCAGCCAAGAAGGAGCTACAAAGGAGCAAGTCATGAAAACAACTGTACAAAAGGAAAGCATAAACGGGTTTTTAAATTAAACAGAAAAATGAGTTTGATTGGATATTTACCTATACATTTGCAACCAGTGGCTGCCAATATCTAGGGCGAGCAAAGACAAGAAAATCAAGCCAGGCCTGAAGAATCTCAGTCAGTAAGATATAAGAGCAATTCATAGGGGCATATTGGTCAAAGAAATCACCTATAAACTTGGGAAAGAATCACGAGGAGACAAGCAGTGCTGATCCTGGAAGAATATCAAGATATGCAACCAAAAGAACAGTGCGTTGTATAAATAAATCAAATGGTGACACATACTGGCAAAAATAGATGATTGCGGGGTTTCATAGAGGCAAACCTATCTGTTACCATGTCCAAAACAGCTCCAAATGTTGAAACTGAACCAATGAAGAGAAAGATTATCCAAAAGTAGAAGATGGCAATTAAGAGATGACTGCACTTTTAATAATTGACTGTCAGCCTTTATTAATGAGTTTCAAGCAGAAATAAAACAACGGGAAAACTTTTACCTATTATGAGCTCATTATATGAAATATAGAGGACAATAACATTGGAAGGAGCCCTAACTACATAGATCTGAGAGGAAAATGACCGCAAAATTTATTAATCAGTTTATTCCAAAGAAGCTGCCGATATTTTCCTAATTCCAAGTGTAGTTTAAATTTTATTACGTAGATGCACAAATGAAATGTCTAGCTATGCTTTTTGGAAGCAAGAGGGAAAACATGAAAAGACAACCCATGTGTGAAGGAAGGCACAAGTGGCACCGGTCATTGGGAACAAAATAAAGGAAAATCAATTAAAAAGTTTCCAACACTTGTATTTGATGGTGAGTTATGCCCAAGCTATATCACTCACAGATGCAGATCAACCGAGAGAAGGGTAGCATTCCAGGGATGAGATGGTTTTGTTAGGAAAGCAATCAGTAGAAAGCTATGCCTATGCACAATTTACATCATATACAGACACATAAAGCACACACAGAAAGGCGAGAAGCAAATACATAACATTCATACGCAATCATTTCTTGTTGGGAACACAAAATAAAATGGAATAGTACTAAAGAAAGTGGCTATTGAAGCACATTAAAGTTGGGACATTCATTATCCAGCAATTCAACTGCACAGAAAGATCGAGTATGAATTATGAAAGTCAATCAACAGCTAACTATCCAAAATGTCAGATGAAACTAAAAATGTGATGGAAATTCATACCTTGATTGAATTTGCGGGCAAACCAACCATCCAAAGCATCACAAACAAAGCTGAAATTCCATGTTCAATCAATTGTCACTTCCTGTGTATAGTTAATACAGGATCTATGCTTGTAGTTCAAATAAGGAAAGCAAGTACATAATTACCTAATAAAATATAAAATCGAGAAAAGCATTTTGTCCTTGAAGCATATTGCAAAAGCACAGCAGTTCATTAAAATTCTCATGTACCCTGCATGGACATTTCATCATAAATAGTATTCCATATATGGCAGTAAATTTGAACAAATAAATTTCAATAAATAGATAAGAATCTTAGGCATCCTACTTTCCTAGATATCCAGAGGTTTAACAACACAACTGTAGAAGAGACAAATGAGCATCAGTTCTCCTTCAAATTGGTCTAAAATAAAAGACCAAAAACTATAAACTTCCTTCTTTCAAGAACCGGCGCCTGGTGGATTCTATTCCAGTAGTCTAAAACTACAGCTTTTATGCAACCTAAAAGTCCATTCAACCAATTTAAGCATTCAAACAAACACCCACACATTTTTGTTTCGTATATAAATCATTTCATCCAAGAAAACTAACCCACTGCTGCCATCAATCACTAGTTTAGAAACTCACCAATGATGTTGGGAATGTAGAGATACACAGTTGTTGGCGTGAGTCTTGAAGTCTTGGCCATTGGCACACACTCCCACTACCAAAAAAAAAACAACAACTAATGCAGCTCTATAAACAAATTGGAATTGAAGAATCAGAAATGAAAAGATAAAAACACAAACTTCACCAGAAATCAAGTAGTTAAACTCATGGAAACAAATCTATGCAGTATGCACATATATACAGACCCAGATTTGTATGGATTTGATTCTTTCATAAAACTTTTCGAGACGAATAAACAGATAGAAAAATCATGAAATTTATCGTTACCTTGAACCTGAAGAGCGTTGATCCAGCACTGAAATTCTGAAAATGGGTGCAAACTGCAAAGAGATGTTCTTTAATATTAAAAGACGAAAAAGGAAAGAAAGATCTTTGGGCTTTAGGTGCGTAATGTATTGCCACCGGGTTTGTGATTTACGTGAAATCGATGGATGGAATAGCAAAAATAAATAATGCACTGTTATTTTAGCAAAACCTAAATTACACCCCCAATTTTGATGTAATTGTGTTTTTCAACTATACTTTTGTAAAGCAACCCAAAATCCCAAATAAATGCATGGTTGAGTTGGGGGGAAAGGCAAATTATACCATGGACTAGGGTCTATGTGACACTGATTCAAAAATAATTTTTAGATTCTGCATATATAGTTATCACATTTTATACTTGTAGTTTATAGTTTTTGTACATGTAGTTATCATATTATGTGTCATCATTTATCAAATCAGATCCTATATTTATAGTTGACACATTATGTACATGGAGTTGATAGTTTATGTACCTATAGCTATCATATTATGTGTCAGCAATTATCAAGTTATTTGTTTACATGTACATAAACTATTAACTGTAGGCACATAATGTATTAGCTGAAAGTACAGAATTTTTGTATCAGGGTTCACAATGCAATATGAACCGTAGTCCATGGTATAACAATTTGTTGTGGAAACCCTACATTACATATGGTGAATTTGGACGATAGTGAGATTAAAGAGTTTATAATAGGCCTAAAATGCTCAGTGTCTGCGTGATAGTTGTACGGTAACCTGTCGATTGTACACATTAACAATATTGCAAAATGAAATGGAAGAATAGTGAGAAAAGTATAACACAAGATATATAAACCTCCAAAGCCTCATCTTATTAATATATCAAGATGTATATATATATATATATATATATATATATATATATATATATATATATATATATATATATATATATATATATATATATATATATATATATATATAGGCTTCGAATCCGGTGCACCCCCTATGATACATGAGTTCATGAGCTCTCATGACATCCATTGATTAAGTTTCCTTGAACGGCTAAGATTATAAGAGATTTATAAATTAATTAAGGATATATAAAAAACAAAAGGATTAAATTGTAATTGTATTTATGTGTTTAATTATGGATATAATATTAAATGAATCTTAAGCATTAAATTAGGGATATTCTGAATGGTAATTGAAACCATTGATTGTTAAAGCTATTTTGCAGTCACCTGTTAAAATAAAAAACGCGTGGAGAAGACTGACAGTGCTGATGAACGGGTGGGAGTAGAGGGCGAACCAAACAGCACACTTCACTAATGGCTTGTAGCAGCACATGTGGGTGCATGTGCGTATGCCGTTTTCCTCCCTCACGTACTGTTGGTGTTGTGTAATCTTGGAGTGAATAAATGACGGTTAACGACTAAGTGGATTCATTATACGGTAAACAAGAGCTGTTAATAAATACTAAAATGGTGCATATGCATCTCCGTGTACTGCTATGTGCGTAGCAGGTGACCAGTCGGTGCATATCGTTGTGGTTGAATAAAGGCATGTGTCTTCGGGTGCATTAGTGAATACAAGTTACTGCATAGTACTTGTTGGGTTTTATTTTTTGGATTTATGTTAGTTTTGTGCTGGCACCCATGTTTGCACGACGTGACAATTGTTTTGTATTTGAAATTATGCTTAGTGCGTAGTTGTGAATAGGTGAATGCATTACACTGTAAGCAAGAGTTATTATCAAATAATAATATGGTGCATATGCAACTCTGTGCACAGTTAAGTGCGTAGTATGCGACCAGTCTGTGCATAACGCTGAGGCTTATGCATGCATTTATCGGTTTGTGCATTAGGGGATCGAAGTGAGTGCATATTACTGTTACAGTGCAAGCGTTATTCTTCTGTTTTGGGTTAGTTTTCCCCTGGCACACATGTTCGCACGACCGTTAAAAAACCAGAGGGGGGAAAAAAAAACAACCACAAATTGAAAGTGAAATATGGGATACATATGTAACACGCAATGTCGACGTGAAAATTCGTAAACCAAACAAACATCCAGGAACACACAAACGATGCCACAAAAAACATTATCCTTTGGCAAGCATTAAACCGCTTCATCGATTTAACCAGATGCTTCGGAGAAACGCGAATCTTCAAAGGGGGGAACAATGCCTCATCAACTTCATTAGGCTCAACATTTGAGCCATCCAATAGTCTACAATGATTGGATACAAAACAGTTAAAACACGCGAGAAGGAAAAAAAGAAAAATTGAATATAAGCACACATGAATTAGGGACGCACAAGCCCCCCGCCAAAAACAAATGAAACCCCCCCCCCCTCCCCCTTACAAACTCCCCCACACAGAAAATGGAATCAAATGAGGCAGCCAAATAATTCCAAATATAATTTGCACATATCATAAAAATGCACGTAATATAAAATGCAACCCCTTATAAACAACAGAATGCACACGCTGGATGCTTTATACGGACATACATTTGTTTTTTTAGAAATTTTGCATCTCATGAATGTTAAGAAGAACGAGAGTAGCCAACTCATGATCAGTTAGAACCAGTAACATCGTCACTGTAAGCTACCACTAGAAACTAGTACAAACTACCATATTAGTTATAGATTAAACAATCAATTGCGCGATTATTCCCAAAAGTAATACTGCAAATAAAATATAAAAACATTAAAATAAACGATGCTAAGCAACACAGGAACATGCACACGCTAGAACAGTTATATGCAGAAAGGTGTGGTTAAAATAATTTCAAGGTTATTTCCAAAGTAACAATGAAAATTAAATTCCAATTACATCGGAATAAACATTGTACAGGTATATGCACACGCTGGTAAAGTAATACGCACAAACTGGCGCTAAAAAAAAAAATTACACAACTTTTGACGATTAGGATGACTGATAGCATCCAACAAACTGATGCTAAAAAAAAAAACTAGAGACAAAAACCTACTGAACCTTTGACAATCTGAGCTCCCACTCCCCCGGCCCCCCTCCTACCGCACGCGCATCCAATCACTACTATCACACCAACTACAACCACCCACCACCCCCGCTGCATCACCCACAAAGCCCCCGTCGCCGACTGCCGGCACCATAGTCATACATTCGAACATTCACCCATCCTCTACTAAACCCCCCCATCCCAAGACCCAACTCCCACCAAAAAATTCGCGGAGAAAACAGAGCAAACGACAATGGCGGCGTGCACCAACACCCCCGTTGAAAAAACTCCCCTCCCCGCCACACCAAACCCACTATTCCGCTATGCAACAACAACCCCCACCCCCCAAACGAAAAATAAATGACACAAACAAACTAAGAAAAAACAGGCATTGAGTAGCAGAAAAATACATTGACCAACACCGAAAGAACTACCCCTTCGAAGCTTTGACCGCTTAACGGAGAACCCAGCTATGGAGAATCGGAGAGTTCGGTCACCGACGCGACGGAGTTAAAGCTGTTGGGTGACGGAGAAGAAGCTGTTGGGTGACGGATTTGAAGTTACTTGGCGACGATTCCTCTTCTGCATTTTCTATGGAGATGAATCGTGTAACACCCCGAAATTTTTAAACTTTTAAGACTTATATAATAAAGGTAAATTCTCATTAAATCCCAAAACATGATATAAGAGTACGGGGTGCTATGCCACACCTGAGCTAGAGAACTCAGGTGCACAGGCTAACTAACTAATATCCTCAATGATGTAAATACATAAGCAAGGCACGCAGGCCGAAAGGGAAACTATCTACTCTACGCTCCAAATCTCTAGCGCGCTCCAGTGTCTACTTCTCTGTGCCTGAAAGCCAAATATATCTGTTCAGCGAGAGATGCTGGTAACCCACTCCAACGCGTTGAAATATAGTATAGATAGATATATATAGATATACAAAAATCATTTCGAAGCAAGAAGTTATATACTTAAGAGACACTAGTTTTAAAACCAGGAATAGACTCAGCAATTCGGGATAAGCACATCAGACAACAATAAGCAGTTAAGTAGAAATAACATCATAAGGAATACGCATTTACGGTCACAAGCCACTTCTCAATTTCACTCCACATCATCATCCAATCATCATTCATATCACATAATCATTGATGGCGCCACGGGACCAATCGCATGTCCCGAACATGAGGGTTAATGCTTATAGCATTAACACGGCCCCACAACACCCTATCTCAGTACTGCGGTACGAGGGGAGTTGATCGCAACAAACCCTTTGAGAACCGCTGACGAACTCAACGTCGGACCACGATCCGACACACCGCTGACGCGCCCAGTCGGTGGACCGCGATCCCCTTTACAAGGGGGGACTTACGACCCTACACACCGTTGATGCGCACAATCGGTGGACCGTATCGGATCAAGCCCGACACACCGCTGAGCTAAACTCGGTCGGTGGGCAAAGATCCTCGGAGACTACGGTCCTACATACCGATGTCCCACCACTCGGTGGATCGCAGCCAGCCGTAGCCCTACACACCGCCTGATTACTCAGGTCGGTGGACTACAGCCTTCCTCGACTTGTTGGCCCTACACACCGCCTGGCGCGTCCAGGTCGGTGGGTCATATCACCGAGGCCCATGTGGACCTTCAGTCCTATACATAATCTTTATATACCTGACCGGTCTCTACCAGCCTGGTTAACAGTTAGGATGATTCTCAGCCCATTCAACTGCCCGTATAGTGGACATCAGTCCTATATCATATTCATATCCCTGACCGATCTTAACCGGCCTGGTTAACAGTTGGGATGGTTCTCAGCCCATTCAACTGCCCGTATTGCCCAATTGATCTTAACCAAGTTGGGGCCATGCATCACGTAACACACAATAGCACATAATACACATAGGGAAGGGGGAGACATATAATTAAGCTTACATGTGATCATCCACATACTAAGAATAATTCCTATGGGCTCATATAACTACCACCTAGGTCCACGGGTTACCAATTCAACTAGCATGCAATTCCTAAGACTTGTTTAACCTACGAATGGTACCCGAAATTCCAAACTAGACTCAGGCACGACAAACGGGGTCCGTTGGGACACCATGGGGAACGGGGAACATCAAACGGGGAAGCCGGGGA